CATCATATATTTCAAAGAATGTGGTTGATTTTGTAAAACATAGGCCTGTTTCGAATAATAAGGTTGCGATCCTAAAACTAATATTACTTACTATCGAGTGTTATTTTCTTACATGCTGTGGTTTGCTGGTGTGTATAGACAAAAAAAAGTCATGATATCTAATGAAAAACACCCTGGGTGTGAAAAAAGATGTGTCCCCCCCCCAAAAAAAAAGGGATTAAGGAATGAAATAAAATTTGGTGACCAAACATATAACTAATAAGTGAGTATTTGCTGTAAAATGTTTGTCCATGCTATAAATGTAGTTATCAGTTTGGCCGCCAATTTTGACTTCACTTTAAGTCGTACACTCAATCCTTTTTTGGCCCCACCTTTTTTCACATCTAAGGTGTTTTTCATTAGATACAGGATTTACAGAATGCGTAGCATTTATGCTAAGAATTAATTAGCTGAAACGCTGTTTAAGAAATTACCAATAAATATGAAGCCCAGTCTATTATTTGATTCACCATTTCTCACGTCAGTGATATTGTAATAAGAATATACTTTGTGTCACATTAATAAAATGTTTTTTTTTTTCCTGTTTATGTTACATTTTAGTCCTCGTATTAGCTGAAACAATTGTGGGAATTATTGTCATCTTGATTTTCGGTTCCTCATTCACCAAGTATATGTTACATTTTAGTCCTCGTATTATATGGAACAATTGTGGGAATTATTGTCATCTTGATTTTCGGTTCCTCATTCACCAAGTATATGTTACATTTTAGTCCTCGTATTATCTGAAACAATTGTAAGAATTATTGTCATCTTGATTTTCGGTTCCTCATTCTCCAAGTGTATGTTACATTTTAGTCCTCGTATTATCTGAAACAATTGTAAGAATTATTGTCATCTTGATTTTCGGTTCCTCATTTACCAAGTGTATGTTACATTTTAGTCCTCGTATTATCTGAAACAATTGTAAGAATTATTGTCATCTTGATATTCGGTTCCTCATTCTCTAAGTATATGTTACATTTCAATCCTCGTATTATCTGAAACAATTGTGGGAATTATTGTCATCTTGATTTTCGGTTCCTCATTCTCTAAGTATATGTTACATTTTTGTCCTCGTATTATCTGAAACAATTGTGGGAATTATTGTCATCTTGATTTTCGGTTCCTCATTCTCTAAGTATATGTTACATTTTTGTCCTCGTATTATCTGAAACAATTGTGGGAATTATTGTCATCTTGATTTTTGGTTCCTCATTCACCATGTATATGTTACATTTTAGTCCTCGTATTATCTGAAACAATTGTGGGAATTATTGTCATCTTGATTTTCGGTTCCTCATTCACCAAGTGGTCTGCTTGGTTTAAACAGTGTTGTTGTCGAGGGTAGACGCGTGTAAGCTGATAATACTCACTTTTGATTTGGGGATTATGGGATCTAAACGAGAAGTTTGGAAATAACCAAGATGTCTCTTATAATGCAGATGAAAGTAAATTAAACAAATATGTGTAAAATATATCTGCTAAAAAAGGCCCCGAGTGCAAATCAAGCAATTGAAACCTGGTACCAGCCACAAAGTAGGAATAGTAAGTTTTGTGTTGAATAAAAACTGTTAGCAGAAGTAAGGCCCATAAAGTAGCAGGAATACATCGTCTACAAGGTTTTACACCTGTTCACAAGCCTCGCATGTGGAATTAACTTATTTACTTACATGTGCTCTTTATTTTAATCTTATAACACACAACGTTCCAAATCGAAACTAATAATCACTGTTTGCCGCCAGAGGGGAGAACGAAATAGTTTTTTACTTGATGTTACAAGTTTTAACTTCCTGGAATACCAACTTCAGGAAACTGATTTTTACTATTGGTTTCTTTTTGATAAGGTATTTTAATATTATTTTTCGGTTACATAACTGATGCTTCTTTACGTACAATTTTGATATATTAAAGTAATCATAAAATGTTGGTATGTTAGAATAATTAAAAAATAACTGATGCTTCTTTCCATACAATTTTGTATATCAAAGTAATTAAGACGTAATTGATGCTTCTTTCCATTGAATTTTGGTATACTAGAATAATTAAGACATAACTGATGCTTCTTTCCATAAAATTTTTTGTATATTAAAGTAATTGAGACGTAATTGATGCTTCTTTCCATTGAATGTTGGTATATTAGAATAATTAAGACATAATTGATGCTTCTTTCCATACAGTTTTGTTATATTAAAGTAATTAAGACATAATTGATGCTTAATAGTAAAACGTATATATTCTCCTATCTGTTTAAACAAATCTGCTTAAAACCGTGAAAACGAATAGCTTTCATTTCAATACATATTTGGTTATAACTTATTTTTTTTAATGTATTTCAGTTTAGAAAGATACTTTTGTTAAATACCGACCAAGCCAACGTTTCGGCGTTTCTCTCCATGAGCTCAGACCCTTTAAAAAACACATGCTACTATGGGAATTTCGAAGTGTAAAAATCAAGAGTGAAACAGTGTATCAGTGAAGATTACATTTAATTCTGAGAGTTAGGACAACTATTATTTTAGGTTTTGCTAGATCTATGGCATGTTAACAATAGAATTAATTTCACCGAACTCTTGGACTAGTGGTTAGCCTGTCTGGAATATGAATTCGAAGATTTATGGTTCGATTGTCGTTGCTGTAACACTGTCCGCACTTTGAAGCTGTGAGTATACTATCAGATTGATGGTTATATTTTCCTATTCGGTCTGACAAAGGTATTTTAAAGAGCTAAATATCTACTTTCTATAGGTTTTCTATCGAAAATCTAGGTTGGATCTGCGTATATAGGTAGCCTGTTTGCGCGAAATTCTGAAAAAAAAACAATTTTACAGAAGTAGCAGAAAAATATATGGAGTAGTAATATAAAAGCAAATGTTGAAGTGAGAGAAGGTTTACTTGACACTGGTTGTGTTTCCTCCACCCTAAAGGATATACACTAGAGAAAGGTGGGTACCATGCAAGCACGTGGCTGTGTGGGATCTTGATGTATTGTGGCGAGATTATCCTTTTACTACCTACACAGTTTGTTTGAATGAGACTTGATATATAAGAATTGCATAATTTCGGCGCATTTTGCAGCTGAAAAATGCATGAAGATGTCGAAGCAGGAAATTAGCTATTTAACATTTATTCTGGTGGTTAGTGTTAAGATTGTTTAATTTTGGCATGTACGCATCAAAAATGATGTAAAAAAAATATGTTTGAATTTATATGTTCGCTTCTTCAGAAAGGCCATGATACATTTTCAACCATGATTATTTTTAGCATAGCGGTTCATAAAATGGCTGAGATTTTTTCCTGTTTTTTTTTTTTCGAGTACAAACTTTTAGCTTGTAGCTCTGCCATCTCTTGACCGATTTCAGATCTAATTACAGTTTTTGACTCAGGAGGTCAAATCCTTTCGATTGATGTATTTCCACACACTCAAGGTTTCACGGATTAATTTATTTAACCCCTGCCTAAAAGAATTTGAATTTGAGTGTAGGCTAGTAGAGATCCTGATGAGTAATAAAATCGAATCGGGTACACGCGAGCCCCACGCTTGGTACTGCTGGCGCACGAAAATATAATTAATAAAAAGGAACAAAAAAAGGTCTCGTATATTAATTTACTCTGATCCCGTCTGAAAGAATTTCAAGTGCCACGGCTATTGAGGATTTTTTTTTTAGATAAGAAAACGATTGAAGAAATAAGAAGTAAATTCAAACTACACATTTGGGTATAGTATGCTATTCGCGTTTTAATATTTATTTTTACATGGGAGCACTTTTTAATCCGTAAAGAATACCAGTTCTATAGTAGAAAAAAACTTGAATACCATAAAGTCTTAATTACAAATAAAGTAAAGGTAGACCTCCGTGCAACAGGGTAAGGTAAAGGGACCACGCAATTTACTAAGAGGTTGCGAGATAGCGGGCTTTAGGGGGGACTTGACCCTCTCAAAATGTTATTTTAAATTGAATCTCGAATTATATGTCTAAATATTTCTTTAAGGGAAGAAATAACTATCAGAATAGAGGAAAAACATTTTTTTTTCATTTGTTTGGAATAGTACGATATCTGCCATTATTTATAAATGATAGAAGTTTAACATCTTGGTCGTTTTTTTTTTTTTCGCTGTTTAACTGTAAGTATTCAAACAGGAATAGGAGAAAGGAAATGTAAAGTCTGTAATATGTTATCAATTTGTTCTGCCAGAAGATATTTTGTTGTTAAGTTTATGAAAAATTTGCATTTTGCTCTTGGTTACGATGCATTTCTGTTTGAGAAAAGTTTTATTTGATTTAATTTAGCTTGTGCTCTTTTTCTATCATTGCCTCAGTATAACACAAAGACGGTTACACCTTGTGGGCCAGTTTTTTTTTCTTCTTAAAATCCACCGAAGGGCGAAAGAACGAATACCAAGTTCGATCTCTACATGTTATGACTTTCCTAGCAGGTGACGAATGTAAGACAATGTTAAAGTGGTGGTTCTATTACACATTCAAACAATTCGAACAAGCATATGGTATACAAATGATCGTTATTACGCTCAATGAGCCAATAGGCAAAGGGGACGTTCGCATGTTACGATCACGGGACAATGTTGCAAATCTTTTTTTCTAACTCCTTCTTCACTAAGTATCTTCATAGATGCGAGCTGAATTAAACATGTGAAAACAGTTTAGAGTTAATTGAAAGGAAACTGACAACAAACGAGACAGTGTGATGATCTTATTAGCTGTTTTTAACCTTAAAAAAACCCTATATTTTTATATGTTGTTTGAGTTTATTTTTTCAAAGATCGTCATAAAATATTTTAAGTACTCGTTAATGTTAATGATAAAACGTACTCGAAAGAGATTCATGTGAAATAAACAAGTCTAAATACACGTATTAGCTTTATTGGAAATGTTAAATAAGAATAATCATGCGATCAAACAACAGACGTGCTGTACAGAATTATCATTATTTAATTCTTTTAGTCTCCGTGAGAATAACAACTGTCTTCGCGGTATGATCATTGACATCGTCTTTCAAGCAACTCGTACAACAAACGGCACTTGACGGCGGATGGACTTTTCGCAGAGCTCATGGCGGCTGGACAACCCGTGAACGATCCCTACTGGGAATTGGAGAGGTACCTTGAACTGGCGCAAGTAAGTGAATGAGAATGGTCTATTTTTTATTATTAAAAGTGACGTAAACTGTTACCAAATCGTTTTGGATAATGTCCAATGACTGTCTAGAGAAAACTTATCACGCGTGAAAAGTAAATCAACTTTAACTTGGTAGTTTTGATAGATGTTTAAATAACATAAAGTGAAGATTTTCACGTGCCTTTTTATGTATTTTTACTTTTGCTTAAACATGTTTATATAACAGTGCACTAATATAGTTTTGTAATTATATAATAACCCGATTAAGACAATTTTATGAGTTTATAATCAACGGCAAAGTTAGCCTATCTTCTTTCTACGTATATTTCTTAAAGTTTTACAGAAAGTAATTAATTAATGGTGTAAATTTTTTACAAGTATCTACATTTCAACTAATGTCAGATAAATTCATGCAAAGAATTAATTTAGTAGTTTAACACAAGAAAATTGTACGTTAAAATTACAGCAGTATCAGCGTATGGAAGGTAATTACAAATATATATATATTCCTTGATTTCATATCAGTTTCATTCCATCGCATATATTAAAATAGTGTATTGAAAGTAAATGTAGTTTTATTGAACAATGGCGCCAGTTATTTATAAGGCATAAATCCGCCTTGTTTCTTACGTGCAAAGGGTACATTTTTTTAATCATCATATCCACATTACTGTGGCTGATTATGTTTCCACATTTCACGTGCTGATTTCTCGCCTCACTTCTATTATAAATTCAAATTTCCTTTATGGCAGTATTCGTTGACTTTGTTCTTTTAAATCGAAATTTTGCATTTTTAGCCATAAGAAAATTATTCAAATAAATCAACAATCATATTTTCTTTTCTTTACATACTTAAATGAATGTGTAAATCATGATAAACTTCAACGCTTTCTTTTGTAATGCTTACTATACTCATTTGTAACTCATGTAACTAAATGTAACTCATTTTTACAATCCTAATTATATGTACCTGAGATGCATTGCCCCCACCTATTAAGGAGATATTACGACCTTGGGCAGTGGGCAGGAACATGTGGATTTTCTTGATAAGTTATGTATCCAGCTGCATTTTATCAACACCTTGATTCAAAGAAAATCTTCTATAGGGCGTAGCGAAACCCAGGAACGGTTTTTTGTCATTTATCGGCATACGTCACCACCTATATTTTTTGTGATGGATGGTGTTTTTGGCAATCATTGCATGTGATTAAAGTTTTGCATTTATTTGGACATTAACTAGCCTTCTAGTCGGAAAGCCAACACCTCTTATTGTCATTAAAGCTGTGTAGAAATGCGCTTTCTTCATTTCAACATCAATGAGAAGGATAAACATATAAAAACAAATGTTTGTGTATATTTAGTTCTTTATATCTGTTTTGGTAAAGGTTGATTTTAGTGTTAACATTTAACAACAATAATCTCCAGTGTGAATGGAAAGTTCCAGCTCGTGCTCACCAAACTTACAATTCATGTAGTTTATTCCGTGCAATATGTTAAAACTAATATTTACATCGTTAATAAAAAGTAGGACTGTGTTTGCTAATTGTTTCCAGCAATGATAGGAAGAAATGCGGGTCCGTTTTCGTATAACACACACATTCTTTATCCGAACTTTTACACTGATTTCGTGAAGTAAGTATAGTAATATTCACTGTTTAAAACAACAACAACAACAAAAAACAATACATATTTGGCTAATTCTGTTGATTCTTCCCAAACCTGTAAAATTCTCGGACTTAATTGCTAATATTGAGAACCCTCCACCATAGCGTGAATATTTTTTCAGATATCCA